CCCTCCGATACGACGCTCGGGGTGCGGGACTGCTGATGCGGGGGGGAAGGAGAGGAGGGGGGGGAGAGAGGGGGCGCAAAAGCCTGCGTCCCACGGGACAAGCGAGCAGTCTCGAGAAAACCCCCCTTTACTCACCACCGGCTGGTGCCAAAGCTGTGCAGCAGCACCGAATAGCCAAACAACGTCCCATTGAGCCCTTCGAAGATCAGGGGGCTCTGAGTATCTAGATTGTAAGGGCAAGCCGTCGGGCAAAAGCTTAGCAAGAACAGGAGCCGGGAAAGCCCCGTGGAGGAAAATCCCATCTTCAGCTTGTCCCAGGCAGCCCTCATCGCTAACTCTGGGTCCTTGGAGGGGACGGAGGGTGGGGTGGGGTCAATTGCTGAAGCAGAAGAAAGTTGGCCGCCTCCAGTTGCTTCGCTCCCTAAGACTGGATGAGACGGAGCCCCGGCGAGAGGGATGGGGAGACACTCCCTCCGCCGCCACAGCCACTAAACGCCAGGTCAGGACGGCTTCTCATTACTTACTATTGCTGACGCTGCGCTTTGGCTGCTCCCCCATCGCTTGGAGCCGGGGGGTGGGCTTTGCGGCCAACTCCGACAAGCTTCCGGGGGCACTCCCAACTCTTTCACCGAGCGCCAAGTTACTCAAGAGGCGGCGTCCGAGCGCTCGGGGTTGCAACAGCCGCTCTCAATTTGAGTTGATGCCTGCCTGGCTCTGCGGATGTCAGCAAGGGAGGGGGAGCTACTCTGGCTGCCCAGGGAGTGACCTGAAGGGGCGGCTCTGACGGCGCCGGGCGGGAAAAGTCTGTATGCCAAATAGCGTTTGGGAACCGGCGGGAGATTAAACTGAGGGAAGACTTTCTCCAGAAGTAGCCGGTGGCAGCCCTACACGTGGCACTCCTCCTCCCGCTGTTTACGCAACAGGTAGAGAGTGACTCCTCCCGAGGGAAGCGCCTTCTGCCCACCGGCTTCCCCAAACCACGTCCAAAGCAGAGGCCGCAAAAGGCGGGCAGGAATCCCAAATTCTTGGTCGACGTTAAGTCTCAAAATAGTGAGTCAGCGTCTGCGAGCAGATTATTTCTCTGTTATTATCCCAAAGGCGTCCGTTGGTCAGGGTTAAACGGAACATTTAGCCTGAGGAAGGATGCTGGAGGACCCAGAAGCCTGGTTGTTGGTAACACGCCCGCGGCTGTTTCTAATCATGGTATTGGCCCCACTGAGGATTTTCGAATGATCCGCCTTGAAGGGAATGGTGTAAAAATAGAATGGAACAAGTGCTTCTAAATAAAATTGAGGCAGAAACAACAGGATATCTTTTGAGATGAATGGAAACGGTCCTTAAGAATGAAACCCTTTGAATGTTACACTTTTACTATCCCCATAATTTACAAAAGCCATCCAGAACAGGACAGAATTGTTAACCACCTAAAATCTTTGGAACGAAGTGGCATAATTCTCAGTGCATACACCCATACATGCACACACACTCCCAAAGGGTGTGAAATTGATAAAGGCTAATTCAGTGTGGTGTGTGAATCCAACCTTTATGACTTATTCAACAATATGGCTTAGCACCATATGTGAAGCAAGTCTAATAGTATTTAAAGACTATCAGCTCATACTGTTATCCAAGCATTGCTAATGTGGTATGAAAAGCAATTAGATTAGTATTAGAACGTCTGTATCAATATTCTTCAACGTTAGCAACTTCCAGATGTTTGGGCTTCAACTCCCAGAATTTTCAGCAATGTCCATTCTGACTGGAAGATTCTGGGAGCTGAAGCTGCCAAGTTTGTGAAACGCTGGTCAGTATCATACAGCTATGTCGAGTAAGCACAGAATACTTCTGTGTTTGCTAGCACGGACCAATCAGATTCTGAATTCATATAATACACTAGGTTACAATGTCACTGCGTGTTCTGCCAGCTGAGTGTAGTTAACTTATGGTTTGGTTGTGCAAATCCAAACAATTGTGCTAATCCAATAAACCCTAGCTCTATTAACCAGATGATGATGATGATGATTTAAATTTATTATAGTCTCCCACTCTCATATACTCTGGGCAGTTTACAAATCCAAATCCAAAATACTAAGAACCATTAAAAACATACAATCCTGTAGGCAGCCCTGACTAAATCAATTACAAATCAGACTTTGCTGCTCTCCAAGTCAAGGGACTAAGTCAAGGATTGTTTTTGTTGTATGAATCTTTCCCATATTGCACCTAAGCAAGCTTCCAGGAATACACCAACATGAAAACCATCTAACAAAAAAAGTCCTTGGTGGTCTGCTCTCCCCAACTTAATTCATTTTGCATTGAAGGAATGAAGAAGGATTGTGTTCAAATTTTTGAATGATTATAGGAATCTGGCACATTTATTACAAAACCCAACTTTCTACATCAGGGAAAGACAAGAAGTCACAGGAGCAGCAGACTACTGCATGAGATTTCCGTAATCAGGACAACTACTAAATGTAATATAAATAGATCATCCAATTAGTGCAGTGAAATGGAAAGTTGGGACAACCTCAAGTGTGGAAACAGAACAACTCCAAGATGCAGAATTCAGGGTTCAGAGATATACAGGAACTTACCATTCCGGACAGCTAATTATTTAGATCGACAGCATGTTGCAAATAGATGAGAAGGATGTTATAGCTTTCCTACATCTCTCTCTTTCTGGATGCAGATGTGTGGCATTCCATGCCCATTATGCTCAATAAATCATCATTCATAGCTTCTCAACATGTTAAAATGTTCTATAAGATTCTGTAATCCTAACCGAATGCTGTAGTTCTTAGTGGTATGCAAAACACTTCAGTCTGAAGTCTTTTGAGTGCAAAACTTCATGAAACTGCAAAACCTCCTATTTCAGGTATGAGTACTGCTATGTGCAACATAGAAAAGCACCTTCTGAGCATTTCAGAAGTCTTCCAAACTTGAAATAAAATATGTTGGGCTTGAAATAGAGGTGTTTTGACCTTAAAACACTTCCAGAATGTTTAAATCACCCTATTCATGTTTGAAACAGTAGTTTTCCATGCAAAATGGAAAGTTTCACGAAGTTTTACATGCAAAGCAGTTTGAATCAACATATTTTGTATACCTCTATTCTTAATTAATCTGTAATTAATCTAGGGGCCTCCCTAGATTCAGGCTTCTTTCTTCTTTCCCATCAACTGTGATTTGGGTGGGAGGCAAGACAGTGTGGCAGAAGTGAGAGCCAGCTGGGGTGAAATTCTGTGGCTTCTTGATACTAGTGGGAGGGTGCCTGGGGGTAATTATTTGCAAAATGTTTATGGCTTGGAAGTCTAGTAGCTGCAGACTTTCCCCCCCCCTCCTTTTTTCTTCTTAATTGGGAAGGATGTTTTGGTGAGGTGAGAGCTAGGTGCCCCTGATGGGAGGGGTCTGGCCGAAGCGTGGGGCTGGGGGAGATATAGTGGAAGGTGTCAGGTTGGCTGTTCCAGGGGACGGGAGCTTTCCATTTTGCTGGCAGTCTCCTAACCTGCCAACTCCATCCTGTAAACCAGGTGATCAGAGTGCTGGTACCATGAGCCTTAAGTGGCTGATAGTTAATGCCAGATCCATCTGCAATAAGACCATTTTCATCCATGATTTAGCGTTGCATGAGGGAACAGATCTGGCATGTATTACCAAAACCTGGCTGACTGATGGTGACGATGTTGCCATTGAAAAGGTCTGCCCAGGCAGGTATCAGATCCTTCAGCAACCTCAGTGCCATGGCTGGGGAGAGGAGTGTGGGGCTCTAATTGTGAAGGAGGCCTTATCTGTGACCAGGCATGCTGCTGTGGAGATAGCAGGATGTGAGCGTCTATTTATCATGTTAGGCTGGTGTGTCAGTTGTGACCCTACCCAGGGCAGGAGAACCTACCTACAGTAATTCATACTCTTATTACCATCAGGTTGGACTACTGTAATATGCTATACAGTGCTTGGGGCTGCCATTAAAAACTACTCTGAATCTACAGTTGGTCCAAAACACAGTGTCTTGCACACTTTCCATAATACTATTCCGGCTTACAAATTTGACTTAAGGACAGCCCTTGGGAACAGAACTCGTTCTTAAACTGGGGAGTATCTGTATATGCTTCTTGAGGCTGAAAACACTCGTCTGCTTTCTTACTATTTAAAACCATACAGTATGCACATATTTAAAGAAAGGGAAGGAGAGAAAGGAAATAGGCTTAAAATAATTTTGAATGCTTTATTTAAACTCTGTAACACTTGCACTGCACATTCTGGGTTTTTAATGTGGACTTTCAATGTGAATTTCTAAAGTTTTTTTTTTTAAGTATATTCCTGAAAATCTAATATGTTAATTAAAAAGACTTGTTTAAAACACATTTGGTTTATGCTTCCTGTAAAATGCATATTTATGTCACATGCTTGGTAGCAAAGAGATAGATTTTTGTTAGAAAACATACTCTAGGGCCATTTGGATCCATACCTAAGGTCAGTCTCATAACATGGATAAAATGCCACATGACACATTTTAAATGTCCTACAAATGTCAGAGTCTTTAGGATTGGGGCAGGATATAAATATTGGGGCTGGATATAAATATAAATAATATCAATTCATCATTCAATGGCTTGGTTAGATTGAACATAGATTTCAATCCAGTGTAGTGCTAGAGTTAATTTACTACCTTTAACCACTCAGCCATGAAAACTATTTAATGAACAAATATTAATTAATCTGACTCAGGTTTTGGGATTAAATATGGCTGCACTTTTTATACCATTTCAAGCTCCTGGGGTGGGAGTAGGAGACAAGAAGGAAGATAGCACTGTTATAAATAAATAAATCCATCAGATTGTATTCCCCAAATGTGTGCCACTTCCTTCAGCCTACACTGAAAAGTTCTTCTAGCTTATCTTGAGATATATTTATTTACTGGGTTTATATGCTGCTCCAATCATAGACAACTTTAAGCCCTGTACATGCCTTGACATCTGTATATGCCTGACATCTCAAAGAGCAGGTGGCAGTTGTGGCTAGGAGGGCCTTTGCACAGCTTTGTGTTGTGTACCAGTTGTGCCCATTCTTAGATTGGGGGGCTCTGCTCAGTCACTCATGTCCTAGTCACCTCCTGATTGGTTTACTGTAATGCGCTCTACATGGGGCTGCCCTTGAAGAGTATTTGGAAGCTTCAGCTGGTGCAAAATGCAGCAGTGTGGGCAGTTATGTGTGCCTCTAGCACATGTCACACCTCTGCTCTGCAAGCTGCATTGGTTGTCAGTCTGCTTCTGGGTCCAATTCAAGGTGCTGGTTTTAACTTTTAAAGCCCTTCATAACATGGGGCTGGTTATCACATCTCCCTGATTATATCTGCCTATCAGATCCGGCAGAAGAGGCAGGCTACAGGTCCCATCTGTTAGAGAGCTACATTTGGCAGGGCCCAGGAGGTGGGACTTCTCTGCCGTGGTACCTGCCTTATGGAATATGTTCCTCTCCAGAATGAGGTTAGCTCCATCCCTGTTGATTTTCC